CAAGTGCTGCGAGCGGGTGCTCCTTCAGTGCAGCAGGGCGCATTAGAGGCCAGGCGCTCTCGTCTGAATGTTGAAATGATGTGTCAGAATGCGTTTTCTATTAGGCTACTATAATTTTAAAAAAATTGTACAGTACAGTGCGTTTCATTTTGGCTATTTATTTATTTATTTTTGTCCCTGTGCAACGATTGGAGACGGAGTTCACTGCTGATATTCTGAGAGCTTTATAGTGGTGCTTCTCATTTCTTATTTGTGTATCCTCGTTTCCTTCCCTTGCTTTCTTTCCTCGTCTTTCCACCCCTATAGGATGCGAGGGAAGGACGCAAAAAAAAAAAAAACTCAAGGACCGAGGAATCGAATCAAGTGAAAAGACACGTCCTCGTATTGTTTAGCGTCACTTCAAAGCGTCAATTAATGCTGGATTTGACTTGCACGTTTGGATTAACTGCATGTCATTAAAGTCATTCTCTATTTTCTAATAATCAATAAAGAAACATTCATTTAATAATAAAAAGGAATAAGCCATTCAAATAAAGAGCTCAGTCAGCAGATGGCGGGCGGGTGCGGTTTTAAAAATTGGTCAAAAATGTTAGTGCGGATGGATGGCGGACGGATGATGAGTTTTATGATGCGGTTGCGGATGAAATAATAGCCCATCCGCGCATCTCTACTACCTAGGCCTCTTCCTCTATCTCCTCTTCCTCTACTTACTTCTTCTCCTCCTGTGCGCCCCCTCTCCTTCTCACTCTTCTTCTAGCTCCTTCCATTTTTTGATGAATACAGGTGAGCTCACCTGCTACCTTTTATAGCACACCTGAGTGCTGCGTTTTTAATTTAGCACATGTGTGCTTCCACACCTTTTGGATGTGTTTATTCAGTTTGTTCATTAGCGTGGTCATTGGCAATCCTGGGCTTTGTAATGACTAGGAAGTAACCTCACAATCCTTATCTGTATCTAAGGTGTCAAAATGTGTGTAATGTTTTGCAAAAAGAGTGAAGCATTGGGCTCTATTTTGACGGTCCATGCGCAAAGTGCAAAGCGCAGGGCGCAAACGCTTTCAGGGCGTGTTAGAATCCACTTTTGCTGTTTTAAGGATGGAAAAATCCGCTTTGCGCCGTGGCGCATGGTCTAAAAGGGTTGGGCTTATTTTCTTAATGAGTTATAGGTGTGTTTTGAGAATAAACCAATCAGAGTCTCATCTCCCGTTCCCTTTAAGAGCCAGTTGCGTCGTGCCATAAGCGCATTCGCTATTTACATGACGTAAAGTAAGTGTAAGTGGAAAAACTGAGCATTTCACTAACAAGAAAACAGTTAAACAGAGCATCTGCAGCGCGAGAATGAGAGATAAGGCATCTCTTAATCTACTTTCACTTTCGCTCTCGTGGATAGGGAAACCTTGTACGCACAGACATCCATTAGCCTTTACATAGTACATTTAGTTTAAGCGCAAAGATTTGTTTCAAAACTATTTCTAAATTCAGTTTTAATTTCCAGCAAATAAATAAATGAACAATAATAATGAAGTGTGCTCAAAATACTGAGTTATATCCTAATACACATGCTGTGCCCCATATGGTCTAAAACCTGACAGGTGGGCAAATCTAAGCTTGTTTTTAATAAAACAAATATAAATATGGATATAATAAATAATACAGTTAATAATAATAACATTATACAAAAGCAAATTGTTATGAATGAACTGAAAAAGCTTCACGAGATGAAGTAGGCATAAAGGCATTTTTTATTTATTTATGTAGGCTGGAAAATTATATGTTTTGTAATATTTTAATCCTTTATATTTATATTTATATCTATTCTTATTATATCCAATATATATCTTTAATATTTTAATTCTTTTTCATTTGTAGAGATATTTGCGAATTGCTCTACATCTTGTGTGTATTAAGCAGTGTGTAAGCGAGGCGCACAACTAACGGGCTCTGCGCTGAACTTTAGACCGGCTTTGTTCTGGTCTATTGAAAAATCTATTATAGTTTCTCAAAATAACAGTGCGCCTCAGAACGCCTTCCTTTTTAGACCAGAACGCCTATGGGCGTACATATGAGCTCAAATGCATTTGCTATTTAAACAACGTGGTGCAAAACGTCAAAACGACAGTTGCGCCGAGCTGAAACTAGCAAGTAATAATTGCGTTGCGCCTTGCGCCACATTCCGCCGGGTGTATGATAGAGCCCATTGTGTGTAATGTTGTGCATATCTGTGGCGGTGTTTTGCTCCTTGGAGTAGAATTTTGCAAATTGTGTGGAAATTTTTATTTTAGAGTGTAAACAATCGTAAAAAACTGTAAAGTGCCATGAAACCCCCCACTTTCGGTTCAAGTGTAGCTCAGAATTTTTTCAAAACATGCATCATAATGGGCGTGGAGCTCTGAGCAGAGGCAGTATTGAGCGTGGCCAGTTGAGCAGGGGGGAAGGAGGGGTTGTTGCTAGATCGGAAACGTTTGCAGCCTGAAGTTACAATTACATTTAGTCATTTAGCAGATGCTTTTATCCAAAGCGACTTACAAATGAAGACAAGGAAGCAATTTACACAACTATAAGAGCAACAATGAATAAGTGCTGTAGGCAAGTTTCAGGTGTGTAGTGTAATAAGCAAAACATTAGTAATGTAAGTTTTTTTTTTTTTTTTTTTTTGTAATACAGTTAGCGGTGGAGCCAGAGAGGCAATTGCAGATTAGGAAGGGAAGTGGAGACTAAATAGTTGAGTTTTTAGTCGTTTCTTGAAGACAGCGAGTGACTCTGCCGTTCTGATGCAGTTAGGGAGTTCATTCCACCAACTGGGCAGATTGAACGCGAGAGTTCGGGAAAGTGATTTCTTCCCTCTTTGGGATGGAACCACGCGGCGGCGTTCATTCACAGAACGCAAGTTTCTGGAGGGCACATAAATCTGCAGAAGTGAGCGCAGATAAGAAGGAGCAAAGCCAGAAGTCACTTTGTAGGGAAACATCAGAGCTTTGAATTTGATGCAAGCAGCAACTGGCAGCCAGTGCAAACGGATGAGCAGCGGAGTGACATGTGCTCTTTTAGGTTCATTAAAGGGCCATGAAACCCCCTCGTTTTAGCAGGGTGTTTTCACACCTCTACTTTGGAAAAAGTCAGAAAAGTGGGCGTGTCCAGCTCTGTTTAGGGGGGAGTGTCGGAGGAACTAAAGTGGGAGGGTGTGGGAGTGTCTATTTGGGCACGCGCGAGTTTCAGAGTCAAAATTAACACACAGAAGAAAGTGATGGTGTTTAACCTACATGGACATCTGTTGTCGAATTATTTGCCAAATTATTAAATGTTGGACTTTAACTGCAGTTTGGCTCTTTCATTCAGGGAATTCATTCATGCCCCTCACGACAAACAAGATATTTGATTCGAGGATCTGCTCTAAGCGTGTATTTTTCATGCAATGTTTGATACCGCACGGCGAATGAGAGAAAAAAAACCTCCGCATTTCCCGGAAACTTAGATGCACACGGCAGGTAGCGTCAGAAAGCCACGTATGTTATTCCGGTCACTAAATGCGGTAAAAACCCTACACGAGGTTAAAGTTTGGTTGTGATGCTAACGTGTTTACACTCGGTGACTCTGAGCAATAGTTAACTTAGTTCGATATGAACAAACTGAATAAACAAAGAGCACTGGTCGCTCACTTACCAAATCTGTAGAGACAGAACAATCACCAGCAACTAGAGCCGCGTCTTTATTAAGAGGAGACTAAAGCGAATCCGGATCTCAGTGTTTGGAGATGAGAACAGCTCTCAGGTAAACAATAATCCTCCTTAGACACGTAAGTTATTGTTGTCGAGCGTCACGTACACTGTTAATCCACACGTGACTCCAGCTGCGCTCTCACAGAGAGAAAATGAAAACAAAACTTCACTGCAGCAAACTATAAAAGCAACACTTCACGCTTGTTTCGCCAACACAACGTGGCGTCTCTGTCGTCTAAACACTGTGACAGTAATGAATATTAATATTAAAGTTGCACAATAGAGCGCGCTGATTGGTTTGAACCAAGCTTTACTCATGCATTAATGCAGCACACTGTAAGACGTAATAAGACACACTCTGGCACAGACGTCCAGTCTGCACGCTGGAATACACGCTATTATCTCATGACCGTGACGCAGCTTCAACAATTAGTTTCAAACCGGAAGAACGAATTTGCTTGAAATAACGCAAAAACAACCAATTTACACTTTTTAGTGAAATATAGGTGTCCTAATAGTGTTTTTAGCAGTGTGGGACACATATACCACTGTCAACAGCTCAAACACATGTGTTCTGGTGTTTCGTGACCCTTTAAAGACCACTTGTGCTGCTGCATTCTGAAGTTAACAAGAGTTATTTCTGTTATTTATTAAATTTCCCATTTATTGTATTTTAATAATGTCTACCCCCACCCCAACCCTAAACCTAACCGTTACAGTAAGGTAAAAACAGTAGTTGTACTGAGTATTATTTATGTAATCTATTGAATTACTTAAGTAAATTTATTTTAACGCCTACTCCCAACCCTAAACCCAACCATCACAGTTCTGTAAAAATATTAATTATTGTTATACAGTGTCATAAAAAAGCTGCTATATTAATGTGCATATCGCACCGGCCGGCCGCATATCTGATCTAGACTCTACCAGAAGGAGGGGAGCGAACAACTGTTGTCAGTCGGCTCACAAAATGAGACACAAGCTGTGAGGAGACGCTTGATTTTATAGTTTACAGAGTTAAAATGCAGAAATAAACAGTAATTTAATGCCCTGTTATATTTGTTATTCATAATTTTATTCAGTTATAAAGATAATGGTGTTCATATAAACACTATAAATGAGGACTTCTTCCGCTATCCCCGGGTCTGTATGGACCAACACTGTATGGGCGGAGCTAAATAATATTAGCCAATTACATCACAGCACAGATGTTGTAATCCAGTCAGTCCTGCATTTATGTGTTTAGTGTGTTGGTGTTTTCTGCAGCCGACAGTGTGTGTTTGTGTGTGCAGGGCTGATGTACATGCTCCTGAAGCACCTGGTTGACAGGTACAACATGTACTACGCTTACCTGCCCTCCAAACTGGACAAGAAGATCCACTCTGGAGCTGTCAATCAAGTGGTGGCTGCACCAATCCTGTGCCTGTTCTGGCTGCTCTTCTTCTCCACCGTCAGGATAGGTGTGTGTGTGCGTGCGTTCGTGCGCACCTACCTGTGTGTGTGTGTTTTGTGCTTCTGATGTAGTTCTTCAGCTGATTCTCTCTCTCCTTCTGTGATTCCTCAGGCTTTCTGACTCCGACCTCCATGTTCACGTTTGTGGTGCTCATCATCACCATCGTGGTCTGCCTGTCGCATGTGTGTTTCGGCCACTTCAAATACCTCAGCGCACACAACTACAAGGTACGCGTTGCCGTGGCGCAGGTATGAGCTCAGGGTACAGTCCACCGCGGCTCGCTCCAGTAGCTCAGGTAGACTGTCACCTGTGCTGGAGCAGTAACACTCACCACTGCGCTCTCTCTGTGTGTGTTTGTGTGTCTGTCTTCCTCTCTCACACAGATCGACACCAAAGACACCGAGGTTGACGGTGTAGAGAATGGACGTCCTGCCAGATCTTCACCCTCTAACAAATCTCAGGTATTTTTTCAGATGCACCACAACTTTTTCAAACTAAAACCTTCAGGTTGGCTCTCGTATTTAATTATTGATAGTAATAAATGCTAAATAGTGATCATGATATTAAATAATTTTTTTAATTTCTGATAAGTAATAATAGTTTGTGTTATACAGAATTAAATGGACTATTTTAATAATAACAATGCTAGCTCAGAATTAGCTCAGTTTATGAATATTAATAATCAATCATAATGAGTTATTATTAATGATTAATATTCCGGTTTAACC